TTCGAAACATTTTGATGTAGAATAGGTCCACTATAAACAAAAAACTATAAGTGTCCGAATAATATTTTTGCTTAGGAATTCAAGTGATTTATTGAAAATCTCCCAAAATTTATAAAAACCTTTTTTTAAAAAAAGATTTTTTTTGCATAAAATAAAGTAGAGGCTTTGAGCTATCGAATGGTATAATCAAAGTCGAGAAAATGTTCTTTCCTCATTGTGAAATTTGCCTCACAAGATAGATGTGACAGGGTGTCCGAATAATTATTTTACATACTGTATATGATAACTCAAAATATTTAAAATATAAAAGTATTTATCTATTTTATAAATTTCTTTGGTAAAAAACTGCACAAATAAGACGTAAGAATAAAATAATCTGGTAGTGTAATTTATTGTTTGCTTTTAAAAATTTTTATTATTAATCCTAATCGTTGAGAATTTAGTATCCATTTGTTCAGAATTAGATTCTACAATTTTTCTAGCGAACAATTTTCAATACGACGTACCGTTTGTTCGAAAAGTGATTAAATATAAAAATTTAAATATTGTTATTATTTTAGCATAGCGTTCAGAATTACCCCACTGTATCTAACTAGTATTCATAAAATAGCCCCATATTGGACTATTATGAACAAAAATGTTTCTTTTACATTTTATTATTTTCATCAGTATTACTTCAAAGTAAAGAATATTGACGAGTTAATCTTGCCGGTTATACTATCAAAGATCCTCTTTCTAATGGTGTAAAAATTATTAATTAATCTTATTTGAATGATGAGTTAAGTGATTTGGAATGAAGGGGATTTTTCCAGCTATTTTAGCTGAGTGTTTATTATAGCCCCACACTATTCAGCATGTGTTCATAATAGTCCCTCTTGGGCTATTATGAACAAACGGCGGAGCTTCTAGCAAAATAGGAGCTGAAAGAAATTGGAAAAGTACTTTCCAAAGATTTTTAGATGGATATGTAGAGAACACCTCAGGCTACTTATCAGTACTTTTTGTTCTGAAAAATAACAAAAAATAAAAAAGTTATAAGACTTTTAATTTCAATTTTCGACAAAGCGTTCAGAATAGCCCCAATCTACTCTATTGTTGTTTTAATTACCAGTTTCATATTTTCATATTTCCTTCTTCATAAATCAACCATCGCTAGTGTGAGAATAAGTATATCATTACTTTTTATACGGAATTTGTCGATCGTTTTATTCAAGTCTTGCAAACCTGTTCGTTCCAGCAACAAATTACATTTACTTCTTTAATAATTAATCGTATCGAAAACAAGAAATGAATCGAAAATCTTTGAGAAACCATAAAAAAATTAATTCTTTAAGTGTTTGCGAAACTAAACATAACTTATATTGAAAAAGAGATTTTAATTTCTATTTTAATGGCATTTATTTACTTAAAGGACGTTCTTTGTAAACCAACTTCTATTAATTAAATTAACTTTACAGACGAAATATAATTCTTGAAGGTTTTTTCTTTCCATAGTATATATATACGAACAGTTCTATATGTGAACATATTTGTGCAGAAAGAAAAAAAAATGGCGAGAGTGCAAAGCACTATGATAGAGTTTATTGAGAAACGTTTTTTAAAAATTTTTGCTGGAGACTTGGAAGTACGTCTTCATGAAAAATACATCGTTAGACTCAGTTTTTCGCGCTCTTTTGAATAATGTATTTTTTGTTAGCCAAATACGAAATAAAAAATTTTGAACCAGTTGATATGCGTTATTTTTATTTTCTCAAGTGAAAGAAATGGGTAATCGATGGATAAACCAAATATCAAATCAAAACAGTTAAATAATTTTCTTTCCTTCCGATTTAGTCGATTCAACATATATGACTTATTTTTTAATTTCAGCCAACACGAGGACATACATATTGTCTTATACAAAACAGAAACAAAATAGTACAATAAAAATAAAAAGACTCAAATTTAAATTTGTTTTTTATGTCTATAATAAAATGTTTTCAATAAATTACTACGACTGTAAAAAAAGAGGTTTTTAATGATTATTTTAGATTTAATTCTTCAACGTCTTGTCCAAATGAGTGAACAAACAAAAAAACATAAACTTGATTATTCAGGTAATATTTATTGAAAATATATAATTCTTTTTTTTACAAGAGAAAAGTAATCATTGACTAAAATATCAAAAATGAATTGTGATGTAGATTTTTTTTTCTAATTCCCTAGTTGAACATCGCGTATCCAAGATCTGTAATTTAATATCTTGTCTTTTATGATTGTTTTTATGGATATTGGGTACAGATAATTATATAATGAGCAGCAGTAGTCCGGATTTTAAAGTTTCTGACGCAGTATTTTGCTTTACAGTTTTATTGAATTCACAGAAAACGTTTATTTGAACATTTAAAAAACATTTTTTTCTAATTGAAAGACATAGTAACAACAAAAATGCATTACTAGAAAAAGGTATCATTTACAAAAATGATTGTATAAGTATAAAAAGCATAAATAATTTGTATGAGCTAGTTGGAAAAGTTACAACTTTTTGTTTAGAAAGAAAAACAACAAAAATAAATAATTAATTAACATTAGTCTACATTTGTTTGATCATAATCATTGTAAATATACTAAAAAGAACAGGACGTGTTTTTGACAATCGTGTACAATCTAATCTTATGCATTTTATCGGTTCACAATATCTTAGTCTATATTATTGTCATAAGTAAAATATTAATAAAGTATAGAGGTATTCTTTTATTTAACAATATCTATGAGAAAGACCTTACTATTACCCACTGGTTATCTTATCAGATGGCAATAACCCTCACCTTATCTAGCTAGTAACTGCATAAGTAACGTAATATTTCTGAGTTAAATAAAGAAAAGATATGTAAAAAAAAATAATGATATTTTCCAAAGTTATCGGTAAAGGTTGTTGGAGTCGATGGATCGAATCTATAAGTGACTTTTCGACATTGAGGGTGTTTCACTTTTTTCACAAGAATTGGAAAAAAAAGGTCACTCTTGCCGAAAATGATCTTGTTCCTATAATGAACAAATTACAGTCATGCATTTCGAGAAACTACTTATAGACTCGAGTTTCTCGACTCGAAAAATGTTTGATAAAAAATCTTTAAAAAAATATTGTCAATTTTTAAAGATATCTGTTATTTATTAAAACCAGAAATTTTGGGTTATTCATTGCAATTACTAAGTACGGGAACGTTATTCTGACCTGATAACTAGTAATGCGAAAGTCACTATTTACCAGTCATCCAGGAACTAAATGATAACTTGTGCGTTACGAGATACGCGATAACGTAACCAGCAATAATGGTAAATTTAATTTAGAAATAAATGCGGAAACCTCGGATTTAAATCCGAGAGTTATATGTACTTCAAAAAGTGAATGAGACAGATGAGTCATCCTAGAATGTGTGGGCATAAAAATTATCCTGGCAAACTTTTTCTATAAACAGTTGATTTCTATTGGCTACTGCTCAACCAATAGGATTTAGAGATGAATAGAGCTCAGATTTGAACTTTTCACCTTGATTTACCCTAGGAAAGTCGTTTTTCCGATAACTTGATTTCTATTGGTTACTGCTCAACCAATAGGATTTCGAGGCAGACGGAGCTTAGATTAGAGTTCTCCGACCCAAAAAACCTCGAACTATCATCGCTGTGATCGAAAGACAGAGCTCGAATTGTGGCTCAATTAGAGTGTGAACACAAACAGAACCAATTCCCGTTTAATTACCCTTGCAATAGGTGAGTTAGTCTTCTTATTTCTTTGTTTTATATACCATTTTGTAGCTCGTGAAATTCTCTATCGAATGGTGTATGCTAGTTGGGATTTTATTTGACTATAATAGGAAAAGTTTATTACGAAAGCGGGAATAGGTCGATTCTCGCATAGGAAGGCATAGGGAAAAATGACTATTTTTCCAATAACTCAGGAACGGCTCCGCCAATCCTTCTCACCTTCGAACTCGACCGAGATATTGTTGAGACTAAACTGTGTAGAAAATTTCATCGCGATCGGACTCTCCTTTCAAAAGTTATCGTGTAAACGGCCGGACGGCCGGAGGGACATACTGACCGATCCTAGAGTGTACTCACTTTTTGAGTACACAAAAAATATTCTATTCACTTATGAATTTATCTCTAGCTGAATTCTAATTTTGCTTAATCAAAATAAAAATTTCAAATTTGCCTATAACATATCATTTTAAATATCGTCCAAATTAATTGCTGATCTCAGTGTTCTTCTTGTCGACAAGTCTCATTTAGAAGCAATACAAATTCCATAATAATAATATTCTATTTCATCAGTCTGAAGTTCACACGAATCTCAAATAATCATGATAAAATTCAATAACACAATCAAATATTTAAAAAAATATATAATTTACATGTTTTTTTTATTTTGTTCATAGTAATTGAAAATAATTTTTTTAAATTAGATAAATTTCGAATAGAGAAACTTAACATTAGTTAAAATCTATTCTATTATTCTTATTTATATAGATACTGAACTTGCTGATGTTAAAGATAATGATCATTTAATTGAAAACACATCAACAAAAACACCGTTATATCAAACACCTGGTTTAGCAGCATTAGTAGAAAACAATCCATTAGAACAATCACACACATCAACACATGATTTACGAAGAAAATACCAACTTCATCGAACATCAAATACTCAAAGTTATGGTTTTAGTTTAGATAAAAATGAAAAATGTGTTATAAAAATTGGTACTGTTACGCTATCATCACCTGCTGCGGAACAAGGTATTTAAAATATGGAAATGACATCACTTCTTCTTTTTTGTTAATTTAAAAGAAAATTTTTATTTTTCTAAGGTCTTCGTGTTGGTGATCGTATTATAAGTGTTAATAATGAAAATGTTGTACATATGAATCCATCTGCTTTTACACAATATCTAAGCGATATACTCAAACAACAAGATTGTAATGGTGGTTCAATATTATTAGAAATTAAACGAGAATATACATATGAATCTTCATCAAGAGGTAAGTTATTCAAGAATCTAAGAACACAATCTCATTAAACTTATAATATAGATGATTCAAATATTGTTGAAGAATCTTATCCAAAATTACGACTTTGTACTATTCGTGTAAGTTTCTTTTATTGTTATTTTATTTGTTTTTAATTTATATTTTAATATTTAGTCTTGGCCACATTATACACAACTTGGTTTTAATATTGTTTCTTCAACATCTAGAGATGATGGTAATGATGAATTTCGAATAGAACAAGTTCAAAAAGATTCACCAGCTGCATATACAAATATTCATGATGGTGATTATTTAATTGAAATAAATGAAAGAAAAGTTGAAAACATGCAATTGCAACAACTTAATCATCGTATTAATAATTTATATAATCAAAATGGACAAGTTAAATTACTTGTTATTGATAATGATGGTTATGAATGGTATAAAAATCATCGACGTCCTATTGATACATCAATACGGAAAGATCATATTACAGAGTGAATTAATTGATTGTAAAAAAAAAATTTTAATATTTAAATTTGTTTTAGACATAAAACACCTGATTCTCCACATGTTCCTACACCAACTCCTCCACTTACTACTACATCTAATTTAGCAGGTATTTTTTCATCACACTATGAATATATTACAATACCACCTCTCGTTATTAAACCTATTAATGATGAAAAAGATATTGAAAATATTATAAATTTTCGACCATCAGCTCCTTATTTTAGTAAAAATCTAAATAATATAAATAATAAATTAATTTTTATGTTTAAATAGTTATAAATTACCCAAACGAGATTCATATCATCCACCAGTATTATCACGTGCAGCTATTAATGTGATACATGGGCAATCTATTTATCGTTTTTGTCATTTAGAACCTCAATCTGGTCAAAATTTAGGTTTTAATTTAGCAATGGAAGATAATAATCATATTATTCGTGATGTTGTAGTTGATTCATTAGGTGGTAAAAACTTTTTAAAGAACCTTATTGGATAAAATGATCGATTCAAAATTGAGAAACTAAATATCTCATCTTATAGACAATTTCAATCCGCATTCAATAGTATATAATAAATCGTTTTTTAAAACGTTTAAGATGACTTATAATCAATTTACTGACGGAGATAGACTCCAAAATGATGATCAATAGCTAATCAGTAGTCTCTATAAGTTAGTCAATAAGCAGCCACTCCTCAAACTTTGTCAGAAGTTGCACTTTAGATAGAGCTACAAAATGCAGTATTTGGTGATTCTTCAATGTTCTTGTTAGAACCATAAAACTACTTTGCATTGGAAAATTGTAACCTATCTTTGTATCAGTTTTTCTCGGGGAAAGTGAAAATCGATTGAAAATTTTGTAATGAAAAAGCGAGACCTTTTTCTTAAACAGAAGCTCGAATTTACACCTGAATCTTGAAGATGAAGATAAGAGTGAGAACGAGGTTAGGATAAGGCCGAGGGTTAGTATGAGGGCGAGGGCGGTGATTAGTGAAGGCCAGGACGAAAACGGCATTTTATGTAGGTTCTGAAAATCAGCAATGCTAGTCGGAAAAATTGTAGAACTTGCTCATGGTATTCTAAACTAGTGTTAATTTTCTTGTATTTATGTAGCTGGTTTTTCTGAAGCACTGTCTGTCTCTGTTGTTATTAGATTAATAGAATTAGTTTTTATTTCATCTTTAGATTTGAAAGTTCGAGCTTCTTCTTGAGAACTTTTATTTTTTTATTACAAAACTTTCAACCAATTTTAGTAAATCCGTTTTTCTCTTTTGAAACTGTATTTCCATATTTTGACTATCACAAGTCGATTCTCATACAAAATAAACATGATATTCGAAAAACTGAATGTCATGTTTATTTCAAATGAGAATTGATTCTTGATAGTCTGAATATCGAAATATAGTCTTAAAAAGAAGAAACTTGATACAAAAATTGACTACAATATTCCAATATAAAGCAGTCTTGAAAATCTATCAAAAACTTGATGAATTACTAAATAGTGCATTTTGTAGTTCTACCTAAGGCGCAGCTTTTGACAAAGTTTGATGGGTGAACGCTTTTCCTGAGATTAATATCGTTGATCATCATGAGCCCATAATTATCACTTTTGATTTAAAAACAGTGTCAAATCTGTTTTTTCCTGAATATTAAGTGATTAAAGATGTTGTACTTATAAATTTGTAGCTTGTCAAAAGCTTTACGAAATCATATATAAGAAATATTTTTTACGACATCATTCGACTAATTTATAAGGACTATACTGATTAGCTATTTATCACCATTTTGAATTGCTAGTTCTCTTCCAGTAAATTGATTATAATTCTTTTTAAACGTATTAGATAATCTACCTATCATATGCCATTGAATGTATCTTGAAATTCTCTACAAATTCCTGTGTTTGGTTTGTTAATTGTGGTTTGGTTATCTTATCGGACAGTGCCTTTTTGGTTTATTTACTTTTGAAAATTTTCTCATTTGATTTTTATTATTTAGCTAAAGCAGGTTTACGAGATGGTGATAATTTAATTGAAATAAATGATGAAGATATAAGAGAAAAAACACATAATCGTAAAAAAATATATTCAATTTTATTTAATAAAATATTCTTTATTATATATATTTTTCTTTTAATAGAAGTAGTTAGTTTACTTCAAAATCCTAAAACTCAGGGTAAAATACAATTATTTATAAAACCAAATGATGTAACATCAAAATCAAAAATAATGACAACAATTTTGACAACATTAAATGATGATCATATTAAACAAGATGTTAATAGTGAACGAATAACTAAATATCGATCAGATAATACAAATGATTTTATTGATCCATCATTACGACCAACTGATTCAATGCCACGTAAGAACTTGTTTTATTTTTATTTTGTGAAACACGATCTAAAAGGAGCGTTGAAGTATAGGGGTAGATATTTGGATCCATTCCCTCCCCCCGCCACAGACGTGACAGACATCCTTAGCAACGCCGTTTATGTCACAGACCGCGACAGATATTTTAATTAATTAATTAATTATTCAATTAATGATGTAATTAATAGAGTAATTAACCTGGTGATTAATCAAAAAAATAATATTTCCTTAATTATTCATTAATGACTTCAGCGCAGATCGTGACAGACAAGCCAAAAGGTCGTCATAGGCTATGATATAAGGTGTTAGTATACGATTAGAAGTCGCATATTAGTAACGGCTTGTTACAATATGCCACTTATTACCTTATTGGATTTCTTCGAGATTAAGTAAAAGTAGACTGTAAACAACAGCAGATCCATCGTGTTTCACATTTTTAATGGCATCAGGAATTGCATTAATAGCTTTTTGATTATGTATTCAATTTTTTGTAGAAATATTTAAAAACAACTGTCCAGCTGTTCTTGTATTACAAAATAAAAATACGCCAGCTATTTCTCGAGAAACAATTGGCACTTATGGAGTTTCAACATGTTTTTTTTATCTGCTTACTGGTCTATATAATCAAGAACCATTTTCGTATTTAGACCATCATGATTTTGAAGTTGATGAAGACAAAAATCCATATGATACGTTATATTCCTTATTGGATCATATATTTAATTTTTTAAAAGACTCAATATTTGCTACAGATTCATTGACAGATATTAGTATTAAGAAACTCAAAAATTTGTATTTGATGATTGGTGGTGGTTGTCCAAAACAAAGAGATATCGTACGATATTCTTTTTCCACATTAATAAATTATGATTCAATATGTTATCCAATTTTTCATCAAAAAATGAAAGATAATTTAGATAAATATACTGCTTATTTTTTTGATCAGTTAATTGATCATATTATTATTCTAAATCCAGTTACATATGTGTTTAGTGATCAAGAAATAGTTGAAGCAAAAAGTAAATTTATATTTAATTAATATAGAATTTTTTCAACATTTAATTTAGTGAATAATTTTAAAATATGATTTGATTTTATAGCATCATCTAATCCAGACAGTTCAATTCAACCACCAACACTTTGGCTAATATATGATGCTGAATTAAATGAAGGTCAAATAGCAATTACATGGAAAACAATTAATGATGAAATTGATTTAGCACATATGTTTTTTCAACTACCACATAAATCACCAGAAAATGGTTTTAACTGGGTTGTTAATCACGAAAAAATTGAACAGTTAAAAGAAAAAATTGATTATCAGTCTCTGAAAGCTAAAAAATTAGAAAAAGCTTTATCATGCATACCAACTAATGGTTTATTTCGTCCATCGTTTTCTCCATTAGAATTAATGTAGTAAGTTAATAGCTTTATTTCACTAAATTCGTCTGTATTTATTAACATGATGATTAATTGTGTTTTAGTGCTGCTCTTGTTAATGAAGTTGATGAAGCTGCAAATGATGATTGAAAAACTTTTATAAAAAATTGTCATGTAAAGATTTTTTTTATTTCAATATGCAGCTATTTTTTGTTCTTCAATAAATCATTGATAGAAAAATAATGTTTTAAAAATTTCGGAAAACTAAATCTTCATAAAATACTTTTATTTGAATTCCTTAAAATATTTAAGAAATTCTTTTTTATTTGCATTATTTTGAATTTGTTCACAGCTCATTCTCAAAGGAGATACAATTTTTTGTATATAGTATATTTTTCTATTTATTTGTCTTTATGTATAGTTTACGTAGATATTTAAACTTCTAATAGCCATTTGGATCTTGACATCTATTTAATGATTTATGAGCTATTTAAACCTTTATATAGTTATTTGATCATCTGTTAACTATTTTACAATCTATAAGCTATTTAAACATCTGTCAGCTATTTAAATATTTTAATAGAGTAAGTCGGGGTAAATGTAGACAAAAAATTAATGAGCTCACGTATATTGCCTATAACTTTTTTATTTTTCATTTTTTTGAAAAACTTTCTTCACAAGACACCTAGCTGAATCTCTCCTCTATAGACTGGTGAAATTCGTTTCTTAAAATGTTGTGAGTATCGCTATCTACAAGGTGTTCTTTGAGAGCTACTTTTCGATTCTACATTCACCCCATTTGGGAGAAATGTAGTTTTCATTGCTATAAATTATGCATTTATAACATACGACCTTATTCATTGTAATCTCCAATCAGTATATCAGATACAAAAAGTATTCTTTTCCGAACGTCCGCTCATGCCATTCCGATTTTCTTGCTTTTCTATTACGATCTCCTGTACAAAGATCCTTACGAACTCCAGTCATAAATCTTTAAGGAAAAAAACTAATTTCCAAACATCTGGTCACATGTCCGGAGTTTTCATTGATTTGAGATGAAAAGAACGTCTCCCATCTATTCAACACTATATTAATAATCTTTTCAGTTGATATAACAGTTATAATCAGATCAATGCCTTTCAACTACTAAAAGTACTCGCAGATGTTGTGACAAAGAAAAATAAATAAAGATGTATGCGTATAATACTTTATTTTTCATTTCTGCATTTGTTCGCTAATTGTTCAATATTGTCTTTATCCAGATTTTTTTAATAATGGCTCTATTATTAAATTTTAATAAATTCTTCATTATAACAATATAACAATAAATTTTTCTTTACTGTTTCCACACACTATTTCCAGATATTGTTATCACTTGGCATTTTTTTTTATATCTCGGCGTTCATAATTTTTCGACATTTTAGCTTTTGATTAAATTCAGATTTAACACAATAGATTATCAACCTAGTTGATATACCAATCGACAGCTATTTCAGAGAACTATCCAATAGCGCTAAAATACTAGAAAACATCCATTGGCCTACATGGCATAGCATTGCAACTAAAGACCTACAATTTTTACTAATCTATAAATTTGGAAGTAGACTTGCGCCGAAATCGTTTTTCTGCTAATTAAGAAAAAAAATTTCTCGCGTACTTTTCATTGATTTGCGTTCGTTTGAAACAAAGTGAGTCACTAGTTTTTTGACAAATTTCTAACATTATGGTGAGTTTATATTCTTTGGGGGCAGGAAGGAGAAAGTGTAGTGGAGAGTTAGTTTTGATAATAATATTTGTTAAATAATCCAATATGTAACGTGACCATCTGTAGATAGATAAAATATTATTTTTGAAATAATAAACCAAAGATAAATGAAAACGCCATAATAAATATGATAAAATAAATGCTGATAATTTTCAGAAAACCGAGAATGATCGAGAATTGTTTTAAGAAATAAAAAGTGATCTATCATATAAATATGCGATTTTTTTTTACCTCAAATCATAATTTTTTTTTTTTTATCAATACAAATCTCCATTTTCTCTTTTTCATTAATTTCAATGTAAAGAAATTTCATAGTTTACACAAAAGGATTTATTATCAATTAAAAGTATTATCCTGATTCCACTAATCACTTTCCAGTTTGAGCATACATTCGTCAGTTTTTTTTTCTATTCAAATTAAGCGTCTTCAATAAAATTCAACTGTAAAGATGAAACAGCGAACTGACACATAATACTCATATTTGTTTTTTTTTTGACCTCCTCTTCTTTTCATTCAAGTGAAACACGAAACGCGTCAACATTGTCGCAGAGAAAAAAAAATCGCTCGTCTCATATATATTATAGGATTAGTCAGGTGTAAATTTTTTAGTCAAATTGGTTCACATTATGAGAGAAACAGCAGAAAATATCGGTGTGCTGTAGAAAGGCCGAAGGAAAAAATATCGAAAGGAAAAATACAGAAAGAAAAAATGCCGAAAAGAAAAATATCGAAAGAAAAACTATCGAAAGGAAAAATATAGAAAATTTTGACTAATAAGATATTCTTTGTTTTTAACACAATAATAACATTATAACATACAGCGTACACAACAAGTCAGCGAAAAAATAAATAAATAAATAATAATATGTCATTTTTTTCGTTTAGCAACTGTAAATGATAAACCATCTAAATATTCCATTACACTAATTAAACCATCATAATATCGTTTATCAAGATTATCTATACGACGCTGAATAGCAGTTGTTTTAGCTTGTTTTGCTCAAGTACCTAAATCTGCATTGAGTTGAATACACATATGATGAAAACGACTCACGAAATTCACACACATCTATTGTTTCTTTTTCTGGACGGTGACAATGTTCACCAATAATTTTAATTAATTCATCATATAAATTTGTATGAACTTTTGCTGAACATTTAATAAGTGTGCATATCCAATATTTAACAGTTTTAGCTGTTTTGTTCAGTTTAAAATATATTTATCTAACGCAAGCAAAGGTTTTCCTTTTTGCGACTGAATAAAAGAAATAATTGGTGATGATGGACGATTTTCATCTAATGAACATGAAGCAGTTGTAGCATGATAGTAAATTTTCAGTCGTATAATATTACTTTTCTGATCATCTCAATTCTTCTCTATCAAAGTGTTTCTCATCATCGTGACTAGTGGTCATAGTGCCACACTAATAGAATAATGAGAAAATCAATAATAAACTATATTGGATTATAGCCATCGTCTGCTGGAGACATCACTTTTTCCTATATTTTTTTTGTTTCGCCATTCTTTTTGCTTTCGATATTTGTCTTTCTACTTTTTTCTCTTCTACATTTTGTCTTTCTACATTTTTCCTCTTCTACATTTTTTCTTTCGGCATTTCTACGGCCAACCAAAATATCTTTAATTGTC